GGATAATTTGTCGATTTCGGAATCTAGTGTACAAAATTTTAAGTTTGATAGAACAGTTCTTTTGTAGACTCGCTGAGAGTAACTAGACTTTAGTTATTTTCATAATACATTAATAAAAATCAATATTTATAATAAATTAGAATAAGTCGTAGTTGTAAGTTGTACAATAAATTCGTTATATTCACAACTCGGCGTTTCTATGGTCCTTCGAGTTATATATGTGGTACAATTGTACAAAAAGTTCAAATCAATCATTTGAATATTTCGAACGTAAAAAACATGCCTCTAATATGTCTCTGACTAGACCTTCATGCCTGAGAAGGTGTCTTACCAACCTATCTCGCCTATTTTTTATTGACTTCCATAGAGTTCTGACTATTTAATTAATAATTAACTTGTTTTTTGTTACAGGATGCGCGAATATGTCGAAGAGAACGAAAAAAACGATCCACTAATTCACGCCCCGGACAAGAAAAACAACCCTTGGGCCGAAAAGGGAAAGTGTACAGTCATGTAGAATTTCGATTCTGCATGTTTCAAGTCAAAGTTCATTCCTGTTATGTATTTAATTTACATATAATTATTGTTGTTCTCCGCTGCAACTTTTTATTCTCCACCCGCTTCTCTTTCGCATATCGGTTGTATACCGCGTGTCCCGTTACTCGGACATGACGATTAAAAATTTAAATATATGAGAAAAAAAAACTTGCAAAAACAATTTACTTACTTAAAAAAATAAAATATATACGAAGAACAATCATAGCTGTACAACGTCGAGGATTGAGATTATTATCTGACACCCCTTTTTATTAGGGCTTATTTATGGTAGTGGACATAGTACATGTTGTATAATGCGGAAACTTACTCAATTTTTGATAACTTATTAAAATATAAATTATGTGTTACTAGTCATAGGATTTTTTATCGAAGAAAAGTTGTGATTGAATACGATTTGAAAATATGAATATCTACGAAACGATTTGGGATTTATTTTCGACATTTAACTATAGAAAATACCTTTCTTTATTAATTAGTTTTTTCTTTTGTTGGTTTAGGTAGATAGTCATTTTGTTGTTGCTTAGGAATAGTTAAAAAAAATACAATAAAATGCGTTTATCTTTCCAGTCTCGCAAATTTTAACGAAAAGTTCAGACGTTTGGATAAGAATTTTTTTAAAGCGATTTTAACTTTGACCTTTTAATAATGAGGTCTTGTAGAACCACACTATATCGGCTTGTTGCCTTAGCTGAAATTTTCATTTCATGGTTGACAAGGTTTACGCTATTCATAGCTGCATCGTAGTAGTTTGAGAACCTTTTCTATCTTTTATATCCTTTCAATCGATATGTATAAATAGGGATAATAATATAAATATTAGTTATACACAGGATTATATAAAAATGAAATAAATAACCAACATCATCGGAACTTTTGCGATTTTACGTATCTATACCTTACATAAGGTGTTTACCTGTAGATATACTTCTACCTATTAATAAGTATATTAAATAATAATCCTTTTTAATTATATTAGATATGTAACTTATTGAGCATACTATAGCCTAGTAATTATGAAAAATATTTAATTATTTTACCTCTAATAGAATTTACGTAGAGTAACATAGAGTAAACAGGAAACTAGAAGTCGATATTTTCAGGATATGCAGCGATAAGGTTTAAAATATCGAAATCACTTGTCCATTTCCTTCCTTTAGTAATGTTTGTTAC